TATGCCTACAGGCCAGAAGAGGGCACCAGATCTCATTACAGATGGTTGTGAGCCACCATGTGGTTGCTGGGAATTGAACTCAGGACCTTTGGAAGAGCAGGCAATGCTCTTAACCTCTGAGCCATCTCTCCAGCCCCCCAGCCCATAATTCTTAAAGGATGGTATTATATAGTAGTTGGTCTAACAACTATAGCAATAATTATGCAGTGATAAATATGGTATGAGATGTTTATAATACCTGTAGAATAAAATGAAAATATCTTTGAATGTTGGTAACAAAGTCATGGATATTGCTAAATTTTTTTTGAGTCAGGATCTCATGTAGCCTAGATGGGCCCTGATCTCAATATAGCCAACGATGGCCTTGAACTCCTACTTTCCTGTCTCTATCACCACAAAGCTCGATCACTGCAGATATGTACCACCATGCTCGGTTTAAATTTCTGTTTAAATTATACACAGCTGGGTATGGTTTCTATGTGTTCCTTATTTTTTCATTGAGCTATATACAAGTATGATTTTTAAACATATAACTACCTTTAATCTCAGCACTTGGTGGCAGAGGCAGGTGGATCTCTGAGTTTGAGGAAAGCCTGGTCTATAGAGTGAATTTTAGGTCAATCTTAGCTACACAGTTGAGATCCTGTATAAAAACGAAAACAAAAGCACACACACCTTTCCTATAATTGAATTAAGATCTCACGTAGAGGGCTGGAGAGATGGCTCAGTGGTTAAAGAGCACTGGTTGCTCTTCCAGAGGTTCTGAGTTCAATTCCCAGCACTCACATGGTGGCTCACAACCATCTGTAATGAGATCTGGCATCCTCTTCTGGCATGCGGGCATACATGGAGGCAGAATGTTGTATACATAACAAATAAATCAAAAAAAGTCATTGATTTAAAAAACAACAACAACAACAAAAAGATCTCATGTAGAAAGCAAACCAAATTCATAAAGTTCAGCATATTTTAAGTTGACAAGCAAGTCACTTAAAACTTTTTTTTTCCAACACATATAACTTTTTAAAGTTGTTTAAAAATAACTCAGTATTAAAAACCGTACCTCTCTCTATTGGACATTGGCTTCATCTGTAATTGTGGAGTCAATCTTGTTGGGGTATTGATGTTTTCACTGGGCTCTTCAGAGGGTTGGCCTCTCTAAAAATTCATGTGGGTGACAGCACAATAAGAAAAAAAAGAATAAATCAGATCTCCCCTCTAAAATTGTAAAGCCAACGTTAAGACGTAACCCTGTGGTGAACCTTATTCTAGGAAGTCCCTGAAGGGGACTCAGAGCAGCAGTTAGGGAAACCCATGAGATCATGATTCACCCTTTTCTTCAGCTTGTGTTTAGACTTCCTCTTCTCTTTCGACCGTCCATACTTTTTATGTGTGCTCACAGGCTGGCTGCTTTTATGGCTAGTGAGTCCATTCACCCGCTGACTTTTGCCTCCGATGATTCCTCTACATTTCTCAAAACCACATTTACAAAGTTGCTGTAAGGAAAGAGAATATTTTTTAACCCTGTATATATCTTTTTTATAAGTTCACAGAGGGTGTGCCCTAAGGACTTGGATCCCTAAAGTTTTAAGCACGATTCAAGGACTTTAAATGCAAACATGCAAATAGTCAACTGAAATATATTCTGGTGGCCCATCCCTATAATCTTAGCATTTGGTAGATGGAGGCAGGAAGATCTGGAGTTTACTCTACAACACAGCATATCTGAGGGAAGCCTGACTCCAACAAACCAGAAAGAAGAAAGAGGAGAGGAGGAAAGGGAGGGAAGTGACTGATTAGAATCACTGAAGTAATGATGCACGCCTATAATCTTGGCACTCTACAGGTAAATCACACCACCCAAGGCTACAAATTAAATTTGGGGATCAGCCTGGGATACCTCAGACTGGTCACAAACCAATCAACCCACAGGCCAAAGCAAATATAAAACCTAAGAATACTGCCACATGCTATCACCCTACTTAGAAGGAAGGAGAAGGACTGCTTCAGGTGCGAAATCAGTCTAGTCAATACAGCAAGTTGTAGTCTTGCCAGGGGCTATATATAGCAAGGCCTTATCTCAAAAAAAAGAAAAAGAAAAAAAGAAAAAAGACATGAGTAAAGAAAAGAACAGCAGCAGAACACTGTGGTCTCCAGAGTTCTCAAACAGTGGGACCTACATCTTAAGAGTGAAGAACGGTGACTCTCAATGTGACTCTCAATGGCTCCCTCTTGAATTCAAATTCCTACCTGTTTTTCCACATTGAAGGAATGGAAGTTGTAGTCATAGGTGAGCTCAGTCCCAGCCGGCACATCCTTAAGCGCATAGAGTCCAATACGGTACACTCCATTAACAGACCTAGAGAAAAGGACAAAATTCCAAGTTGGGACTTCTTATCACTTGTATGTGACCCAAGTACCCCACCACTGAACTACAGCCTTGTTCCCTTTCCTTTTATGTCTTTTCGAGAGTCTTCTGCCATCATGCTTTTAATTCCAGCACTCAGGAGCAGAAGCAGGCAGATCTCTGTGAGCTCTAGACCAACCCAGTCTACAGAGTGAGTTCTAGAATAGGCAGAGTGATGTGAGAAACCCCTACCTAGACCTCACACCCCGAAAAAAGAGAAGTATCACTGTGTAGTCCCAGCTGGCCTGGAACTCACTCTGTAGATCAGGCTGGCCTCAAACTCAAAGAGATCTACCTTAAGTGCCTAGATTAAAGATGAACAGCAACAAGTCCAGCTTATTACTATTATTATGATTATTATTTGGCATGGTCTCATGTAGGAGCTTATATTGACCTCAACCTCACTAGGCAGTCAAAGATAACCTTGAACTTTTGGTCCTCCAATCTCCACCTCCTGGGTGCTAAGATTACAGGCCCATGTTACCACATGGGATTTATGAGGTGCTGGTGATTGAACCTAGCCAGGCCTCTGTGCATGTTACACAATCAATCACTCTTTCAGCTGAGCTTTATCCCCAGCCCCTTGTTTATTTACACAGCCTCAAATTCCTGGTGATCTATCCTCTTGCTTCAACCTCCCCAGTGGTGGGATTACAAATGGTTTGGCCTTTGAGTGAGTATCTCCCTTCTCCCACATTCTTGCTGCCCCCAAAAGGATATTTTTTGTAGCCCTAGTTTTCTTGAACTCTTCATGGAGACAAGACTGGCCTTACCTCACAATAGTCTCCCGACTTTGCCTCTGAGTGCAGCACGAACACCGAAGAGCTCAGCCCAGATAAGAACTACACAGTGAGACACCATCTCAATCAATCAAACAAAAACCTCAACCAAGCGCTGCTCCCAACACCAAAGAGTGGTAGCACTGTCTTCTATTTCCATCTTTCTGTGGCAAAGTATGATGCTCAGGAGTATAAGGCCAGCCTTGGCTATAGAGAAAGTCTGAGGTCGGCCTAGAACCTCCTCAACAAACGAACAAACAAATAAATAATAAGAGAGTACTGCCTAGTAGTACAGTTGAGGTTCTCGGTTCAATCCCTAGGAAATAAAACAAATCCACACTACACAAAACTGAAAGATATTAAAGCAAGCAAATCCTCCCCTGTGCCACAAATCTTGAGTACATACCTTCCTGAGTTCTTACTGATCAACGTACCTGTATACTCTCTCAGAAAGCGCCCAAGTCAGTACCTATGCCATAAAAGATCTGTATTTTTCTGATCTTTACCACTATGTATTAGCTTTGTCTATTTTGTAGTTCAAATAAATGGAATCAGATAATATAATCTTTAAAAAGAAATATCCTTATTTTATGTGTATGAATGTTGTACCTGTATGCCTGTGGAGGTCAGAGTAGATACTGGATGCCATGGAACTGGAGATACAGATACAGATGGTTGTGAGCCACCATGTGGGTGTTGGGAACTGAACCCAGGTCCTCTGCAAGAGGAACAAGTACTCTTAACTACTGTGCTAGCTCTCCAGTCCTTAAAAATTTTTAATTGATGTGTATGTGTGTATCTCTGTGGGAGGGGTGTATGCCGTGTGTCTACGTAGAGGTACCGCAGAAGCCAGAACACTGCATAAGGTTCACAGGAGCTTGTGCCACAGCTAGTTCTAACCTGCATGGTTGCTAGAACTGAACTCCATTCCCTTCAACAGCAGCAAGGACTCCTAATGGCTGAGTCACCTCCTCAGCCTTCTCCCCCCCATCCCCCCTTTCTTCAAGACAGGTTCTCTCTGTGCATCCCTGGCTGTCCTGGAACTTGCTCTGTAGACCAGGCATGTCTCAAACTCACAGAGATCCGCCTGCCTCTGCCTCCCAAGTGCTGGGATTAAAGGCGTGCGCCACCTACTCCCGCTAAGACAGGGTTTTTCTACGTAACAGCTCTGGTTATCCTGGAACTTGCTTTGTATACCAGGCTGGCCTTGAACTCAGAGATCAGCTTGCCTCTGTGGTGCAGAAATTGTGGAAATGGCCAACCAATGACTGGCCCAGCCTGAGACCCATGCCACAAGAGTGAGCCCACATTGCCTGGATTGCTAGAGACCTAGGATAGAAACAAACACAACTGGAGGGAAAAAAAGGTCAATGAAACGATGCCTAATGATATTCTACTATACTCATACATTGGTAACTATCCCAAATTGTCACCAGAGGAGCTTCATCCAGCAACTGGTGGAAACAGATGCAGAGACCCACAGTCAAACATTAGGCCGAGCTGGGTGGTGGTGGGGCACGCCTTTAATCCCAGCACTTGGGAGGCAGAGGCAGGCAGATCTCTGTGAGTTCGAGACCAGCCTGGTCTACAGAGCTAGTTCTAGGAAACCCTGCCTCGGGGGAAAAAAAAAAAAAACACATTAGGCCAAGAGGAATCCTACTGAGCAAGCCAGAGGGGCCAAGGACACCACAAGAAAACTCACAGAAGCAACTAATCTGGGCACACAGGAACTCAGAGTCTGAACCAACAACCAGAGAGCCTGAATGGGGCTGAGATAGCCCTCTGTATATATGTGACATTGTGTTTTATATATATAATTTTTTTCATTTTACATACCAACCATAGTTGTGTGTGCCCTACCCTCCGCTGCGTGTTGTTTAGTCTTCTTGTGGGATTCCTAACAGTGGGAGCAGGGGCTGTTTGGCTGGCTTTTGGGAACCTATTCCTTATACTGGCTTGCCTTGTCCAGCCTTGATACAAGGGAGGTGCTTATTCCTACTGCAATGTGATATGCCATGCTTTGTTGACACCCACGGGAGGCCTGCCACTTTCTGAACAAAAACAGAGGAGTGGATCAGGGGAGACAGAGGGGAGATTTGTAGGGGAGAAATGAGAGGTGAGGAGGGGAAATAGCAAAGGCAGCCAGGATATAAAATAAACAAACTTGAAAAAAAAGTGTGCCACCACTGCCAGACCCTGTACTTTTTGTTTCTTTGAGATGACGTCTCACTAATGTAGCTAACACCCAGGCTGGCCTGCAATTTACTCTCCTTCTGCCTTAGCTTCCTAACTACTCAGATTAAAAATGTGCGCCATCACACCTGCCTTTTAAATTTTTAACTGATCTTTCTCTGTGTGTGGCATGTAAATGTCATAAACTATACATGGAGGTCAGAGGACAACTTGTGGGAGTGAATTCTGTTTTGTCCTCCCACCTCCACCCCACCATGTGGGTCTCCTGGACTGAACTTAGGTTTGGCTGCAAACATCTTTACCCACTGAACCTACACCCTGGTCTTAGTATGTACACTTGTATACCCAGTCTCTTTCACTCAGTGTCACACTGAATTGCATACATCAGTTTGTACCTTTACACATTGGATAGTTTTCCACTCAAGTTAAAAAAACCCACCATACTTTCTATACCTATTCTACTGCTATTGACAAACTGTAGTTAACAGTTACAATACAAATCTTTCAGGGCATGTGATGTTGCCTACCTGAACCTCAGCACCTTGGAGACTAAAGTAGAAGCATCTTGATTTTCAGGTTAGCCTAAGATACATAGTGAGACTCTTGCAAAAAGAAGAGAAAACACAACAGAGTTTTATGTGTATATTCTTTTACATGTCTTCCATCCCCCCTTTAATTTACTTTTTCATTAGTTTAAATTCACAAGGGGTATAAAACATCATGAATTCTGCATTCAATGGCCTCTGTGGGAAGGTTGCTTCAGAATTTGGCATATACTATATATGATTCCAGATTACCTTTTCCCAGATTCTTTTGTTTTTATTTGGTTAACAAAAAGGAGTCATTGTGAGTTTGAGGCTAGCCTGGTTCATAAGTTCTACAACTTCAGGGCCATGTCAAGAGACCATGTCTCAATAAATAAATAAATGAAGGAAGGAAGGCAGGCAGGTCCTCATTATGGCTCTGAGACACTGTTTATAGCCAGCAATAAATAAATAAATAAATAAATAAATAAATAAATAAATAAATAAAGGCACTCATTATGGCTCTGAGACACTGTTTATAGCCAGCAATAAATAAACAAATAAATAAATAAACAAATAAGTAAAGGAAGGAAGGAAGGAAGGCAGGCAGGTCCTCATTATGGCTCTGAGACACTGTTTATAGCCAGCCTAGAAGTCCTGCTCTCAGCAGCCCCTACAGGTGTCAAGACTAATCAAAGAGCTATACATGCCTTGAACATACCTAATAATTTTTGAAGACCATATTCTTAGTCCAGGAATAGAAACAGAATGGGGTCCTGGGTTTTTAAGAGGCAATGATATACATTTAAAGAAGTTACACCAATTACAATTCATGAGCAGTTCAACATTAATCCTACTGCTCTATCCTTTTTTGTTATACTTGTTCTCTCTCACTCTGTAGACCAGGATTGCCTGGAAGTTACAACAGCGATCGGCCCACCTCTACCTCCTGAGTTCTGGGATTGAAGACATGTGCCACCATGTCTAGTTGCTTTAACATTACTTCATGGACGTTTTGTAATGTCAGTCCTTAGTTCTAGACATTTTGGGGGGTAGGTACTGGTCTTAAAACCTGGTGTCAAATCCATTGTCTATTTTTTACTTAAGTTTCATGAAGCCCAACCTGTCCTTGAACTTCAGACTCTTGGTATGTCTGTCTCCATCTCGAGTGTTGGGATGACAGGTATATTTTACCATATCTAGTCTATCTTTCAGTGACTATGAGCACTTGAGCACTTGCGGCTTACTTGTGGAACTTAAGTTTAGTTCCTAGCATGCAAGTCAGGCAGCTCCAGCTCAGCTCAAGGGATCTGACACCTGTCTGGACTCTTTGAGAGCTTACACATACTCTAACGTATACACAAATACCACCCTTTCTTTTAAGAAAAAGTATTGTCTTCTTGATTTTATAACTTCCGAGTAAAAATCAGTCCTTTCTCAGATAAACACATACAAA